CTCAGTGGATACCCCCTCCCTCCCAGAGTCAAGAAGGCAAGGGGCAGCCTTCAGGCCTTTGGAGCCAGTGGCAAAGGTATGGAGTTGGGCTGTGCGTAAAGTGGCCCCTCCTTGGTGCCCACCAAGGGTGACCAAGGACAGCAGCAGAGACTGTCAATATTGGCCTGACCACGGCAGGAAAGGGAGCAGGCTCAGTAGGAAGCTTGGACAGAAGGCAGGGGTTTGCTAAGGGGCCTCAGATTGGGGGTCAGGGAAGCTAGAGAGTGACAGAGAGCTTGCATGTTGCTCCCCTTGCCTCTGCGTTGTCCTGGTGGCAGCTGGGGTGGAGCTGGGAGAGGAGGGAGGAGGACAGGGAGGGGGACTGCCCAGCTGGAAGAGGCCTTGTCTAATTGTGCCTGATTAGTAGAGAGGAAGAGAACAGGGCGAGTGATTAATAGTCTCGGCAGTCACCAGCATGTGCAGAAGGAGGGTTGGAAGGGGGAGGGAAGTCAGAGCCGAGAGAGGATGGAGACAGTGAAGCGCCCACAGGTCCTTGGTCACCTGCCCTTCCGGGGGGCTTCCTGGACTCCTGAGGACCCCGCAGAGAGGGGCAGGATTATACCCCAGTCTCCTCAAGGATTCATTCTCCATCTCCCCTGTGCCTCAATTTTCCAGACAATAGAATGGAAGAGAAAAGACCAAGGCCAGGTCCTGCACCTGGGAAGAAAGGTGTACGGCTCACGTGGTGTTTCCAGATACCTCGATGTCCTCAGACACAGGCTCTATCCTCAGCTCAACCTGGGACCTCAGCCCAGAGATTAGATGCCAGGATTCCAATCACAGCCCACAGCTGTCGCCTTATATTCTTTGATACCAGTTGGAGTTCCTAGCCCCGCCCAATCTGGCAGTCTGAACCTCATCGCTCCTAGGGCCAGAGCCGCACTGTCCAATACGGCAGCCACTAGCCACATGCGGCTATTTGAATTGAACATTCATTTTCTCTGTCACACTAATCACATTTCAGATGCTCAATAGCCAGGGTGGCTAGTGACTACCATGTGGGGCAGCGCAGAGACAGGACATTTCTGTCATCACAGAATGTCCTGTGGGATAGCAGTGATCTCCAGTGCGTGCTCCCACTCCTGCACCTATGCAGTGTGCGCGTGAATATTTGGCGGGGACGTTGCATAGCACGGGGACACTGTGACAGGGGAAGGAGAGAGTGTGGGCCTGAGGGTCTCGAAAGGGGGAAGGCTAGGCGACGGAGAGTAGCGAAGATGCCAGTGTATGGGTCAGAAAATGGCAGGTGGTGCTGGTGACAGGTTAAAGAGAGCCAGGAGTTGGGGTGGTGGCATTTTAACAGCTGACACTCTGTGTGTGCCAGGTACTGGGCTAAGCTATCTCTTTAATCCACACAACCATCCACATTTTTTAGGTTCTAATATTCTATTTAATGACTACGGAAACTGATGCTTATGGAAGCTTTTTTGCCTCCTTCAAGGGCGCACAGCTTAAAGGGTAGAGCCAAGGTTCGAATCCACGTGGTCTGGCTCCAGAACCCACACACTTGACTGCCATACCGTACAGTCCCCAGCTGAGAGGAGATGCTGAATTTTAGAGTCATCCTTGCATTTTACAGCTAAAGAAATGATGCCTAGGAAGAAAGAGTGATTTCTGCCTTCTAGTAAGTGGGCAGGCTGTGAGCAAGCCGCAGTGGGGAAAGTCTAGATGGGCCTTGGAGCATTGGAGCGGGGGAGCAGATGGTGGAAGGAGTCAGGGAGGAAAGGGCGAACACATAGGTGGTGGTAAAACTAGGAGGCAGAGGGGGGAGTGGGTGGTAGGAGAGTAAGTGGCGGGAAGGGAAAAAGGAGAAGGGGGGCAGGGGGAGGGGAGCTCGGTGAAGAGGTGAGGGCATCCTCACCTGGGGCCCTCTCTCCTCTCTCCCCACTCCTCTTCCCCTCTCCAAACCTCTCCCGGCCCAGCCTGGCTCATTCCTCAAACCTTCCCAATTTTCTTTGGCCCAGAGTGGCCTCCCTCTCTGAACTGAGGCTCTTACTATCCATGTACCTAATTTGGCAATTAATCCTGGTACCTCATGACACCGCTTGGCTTGCATGGCTGGTTAACTCTTGCATGGTTAGTTAAGCTTTGGAGTGGCCTGTCCCCATTCTACCACGAGACTGTAGGCTGCTTGAGGACAGGGACTGGAGACTGGGGTTTCCCTTCTTTGTTCTCCCCCGCAGCACCCGGCAGGGAGCCTGGCACCTGGTAGGCGCTCAGAACGCCATGATGACTGATTGAGTGGGTGACTGATTGGGAGTCAGTGAGGGGCTATCAGGGAATGTGGGGTTGGCGGGGGGAGAGCGATTGTAGTAGTAGCAGAGGCAAGAGCAGCAGCTTAGGGGCCTGGGGGAGGGCGCATTACCCGGAATAAAAATAGGCTGGAAAATGTGACATTTATTAACTTGGATTCCGGAGGAAAGGTCACAGCAGAGTGGGGAGTGGAAAGGAGGAAACAAGAAAAGCAACAAAAAACACACAACAGCCCCTTTCTCAAAGCCTGTCCCTGTCACTGAGCATCTCGCCACTCACGCCCTGGCAGGGACTCCACCCACTGGTCCCTGTACCCATCTCCTCACCACAGATCCCAAACCCCTATCTCAGCACAGTGCATCACGGGCCTCATGCCCTCATCAGAGACCCGCTGTTTTTGCCTCCACACTCCTTTCCGCATCTTGCCACAACAAGGCACCCCGTCTTCCCCATTGCCGTAGATCACGGTCCCCATCCCAACCCACAACCCCAGGCCCTGTGAATTCGCAGCAGTCTCAGCCCCAGGATGCCAAGCCCAAGGGAGAGTTACGCTTGGCAGGTAGGGGCTGTGGCGGGGTGCGGGCAGAAGGGTGTGGGGGTCTGTGCTGGGTGGGGCGTAGTGGGAGCGGGATCCAAAGGGAATTTCCTGCCCCTCGATGCTTGCTTTTCCGCTCCACCCCCTCACCGTCCTGCGGCAGCCCCAGAGCTGAGACCACAGTTCGTATTGCCCTCCTCTCTCCAGCCCCAGGGCCCGCGCCAGGCCACTTTTATCTCTGCCGGGGCATCCCCAGGATTCAGAGAGACTCGCCAGCCCTGACCAGGGAGGGACTCTCTCTCCCCATATCCTCTGGCACCTGCTCCTTTCCTGATGGGAAGGCGGGGAACCCCTGCCTACCTCATCTTGCTTCCTCGTCCCTCCATCTCTTCCTCTCCTTCGCTCCCACTGAGGTTCCATCCCTCTTCTCCTTCCCTTCCCACCCCCAGCCAGGGCCTGGGACACAAACCCCCACTCAGGGACACAAAGCCCCCATTGATTTCTGCCCCAACAGCACCTGCTGAGACTGGGCTCTGTCCCCCCAACTCAGGGGTGAGGGCATTGTGTAGAGGAACCCCACGGATCTGAAAGTCCACATTCACACTCCGTACCCCACCTCCTTTGGGGGACTCTCACAGCCCTGGCTATGGGGGAGGTGATTTTTTGCTAAAAGAGGGGGTTGTAGCCACATGACGGGTCAGTGCCCCTGATTCCCATCCCAGCACTATCCTCTCCCTCTGTCCCTTCCTCCATTTCTACCCAACTCCCCCCGACTATATGACAGAGGACCTAGAGGCTGCAGACATTGGTGGGAGCCAGGCACCTAGTGGGAGCTTGTTCCCTGGTGATACTGGGGCAGTGAGTGAGTGAGAACCTGCGTAGCGGGTGGCCGGGTCCTGAGGAGGGAAAGTCTCCCATCCCTTGGGCCGGCCCCGGAGCCGGGGCTGGGGCGGGCACCATGTTGACAACATGCATGTGTGCATACGCTTAGGCAGTGGCAACACACATGAAAACACACATGTACACCATACTGGGAGTAAACTGGACTGGGGACAGTCATCTCAAGCAGCAGGAATAATAGATACCCCACGACTGGGTGAACGGAGTACTGACAGACAGCGTACAAGACACACCCCCCACTGACTCGCGTTGTGTTGTGAGAGATGGCGGCAGCGGTCCCCACGCGGGGACCAGGGGTTGGGATAGATGGGGAGAGGGTTGTCACAGGAGGGCATGGCATCCACAGCATGACCCTGTCTTTGGCAGCTAGGTAAGAGGTGGGATGTGAGCACAGAGATAAGTCGCTCTCTAGATGTGTGGGTGTGCAGGTGTGCACGTGAGTGTAGCCGCAGGGACACCGAGTGTGCACTGAGTGCGTGTGACAGGGAGTGTGCAGGGAACTGTGGCCCCGAGCCATTGAGGGGGGGTGTGTGTGGGGTGTGTGCCGAGCAGCAGTGAGGGCGAGCCATGCACAGAGGAGCGAATAGAGTGAATGAGTGATCCTCAGTGTCAGAGCCAGAGCCGGGCAAGGGAGCAGCAGGGATCGGGGAACGGAGGGGAGGGGAGGGACTGGAAAGTGGGAGAAGCCAGGGGGGCAGCATGAAAGAGGGATGTGTGAGGGAGTCTGTGAAAGGGGGTGTGTGTGAGAGACACAGAGACAGAAGAGACACTGGCGCCCAGTGTACACGAAGATCATCTCTCTCCAGCCTGCCGGGCGGGCCAGCTCCCCAGGAGGCTGTCTGAGTCCTTCCCCTGCGGGAGCGCCCCCAGGCACCCTCTCCCCATCACCCTCATTTGGTGAGGAGAAGAATCCAGAAGTCACAGGAGACACGCAGGGTCAGTTGGTCCAGCCTTGGCGTGGGGCACCCCTTCCCTGCCAGGGGACTGGCTGTGGGGCCCCGGGGCCCACTCCAGGACCCCGGCCCCAGGCCCGGGCGCCGCCGCAGCAGGGCCAAGAAGAGGAGCAGCAGCAGCGCCGGGGTAAGCCCCTGAGTGTGCCCTGCTCCGCGGCTGTGGAGCCAGAGGGAGACACCGAGCGTGGGGGAGACTCGAGGCCAGCCTCTGGTGGCGGAAGGAAGGGAAACCCTGTTGAGGATGCCCCCACGCACCACCACCGCCACTCCCCCCGGCCTCTGGCCACCCCAAGCCAGGCGGGCCGGTGGGCAGGACTCACCACAGAGAAGTTGCTGGCGGAGCAGTGGTGCCCACTGAAGTTGCAGCTCTTGAGCATGTCGGCAAGCTGGTGGCCAGTGCGGTTGAGGATGTCTACCATGTCAGGCTCCGGGTAGCGCAAGCCAGCGGCACGGTGCCCGTCCCGGTCTTTGGGGGGCAGCCCCGTCAGATTGGCCAGGTGGAAGATGTCAGCGTCGCTAAGTGCAGAGTGCCGGAAGCGGTTGATGTTGCAGAGGGTGACAGCTGGGAAGCCCGCCACTGGGGCTGGGGCAGCAGGGTCCATTGCCACCAGGTGCGGCCAGGTTAGGTAGCCCCGGGCCAGGCCTGCCGCCTGGTACAGGAAGGCAGCCAGCGAGGTGAGTAGAGCCAGTGCCCACAGGGTTCTACGAAGTCCGTGGGGGCCTGGGCCACAGGCCCGGCCCAGCCCGTGCAGAGTGCTCGTGCTGGCAAAGGTGGCCAGGTCCCGGGGTGCTGCTGCCCCCCGCGCAGCCCCCAGGAGGCTCTGCTCATCCCCTGCCTCCTTCTCCTTGGGTTTCGCATCCTCCTCTGCAAATTTGATTTTGCACACAATCTCGATCGGCATCTGTCCCCGGCTGCTGGGACTGGCCAGAGCCTCCTTGCCCCTGTCCCTCCCTGGCCAGCAGCCCCCGGTGCCCTCCGGAGTGTCGGTGGTGGCAGCGGCTGCTCTTCTAAACTCAGGGCAAGCTGGAGGAGGATGGGGACAGGGTGGGGGCCTGAGGTGGGGGAGTCACTCCCACTCCGAGCAGCTCCGCAGCCCTGGTGCTGCCTCTGCCGCTGCTGCCTCTGCCGCCGCTTGTCTCTCTCCTCGATCGTCTCCTTGTGGCTTCCCTTATCAGCACCAGCACAGCTGTCAGCCCCTGCGTGTGTCCCTGCGAGCAAGCGAGTGAGCTGCTCCGCCACGCCGCGCAGCCCCAGCCGCTCCGCTCAGCATGTGCTCCGGAGCCCACCCCGTGCTTAATAATTCAGGACATGTCAACAGCGTTTCACCGGCGGCACGGGCGGCAGGAGCCAGGCCAGGGGAGGGGGCAGCCCCAGCAGCCCAGGACAGGGATCCCTGGCCCCTGCCCAAGACCTCGCCAGCCTGCCCCCCAAACTCTTGCTATACCTCAGCCACTCATGGGGTGCCCAGTTGGCCCCACTCCCAGGCCACCCAGGGAAGAGTGCTGCACCCGGAGTCCTCAGCTCATTCTGCCACTTTCCTGGACCACACCCAGGGAGGAGTCACAGCCAACTCCATCTCCCAGCTCCTGGCCTCCCTGACTGCCAGCTCCAGCACCCGGCCGCCACCTGACCCCCACTGCCCCGCTCACAGCGGCTTCCAGAAACTCCTTGGGAGAGCCACTTGTTTGAATAGAGGGCAGAGGAGGGCAGGAAAGACAGACAAGGGAACAACAGGGAGGCCACCAAGATTCTTGGCTTTCTTGGGGCTTTACTCCCGACTTTTACACTCACCCTACCCTGCCCCTTCTGGGGCACTGGCTGCCCACCCCCCCACCCCCAGACTCAGTCACTTGAATGTCTGGGACAGAGGGCACCCAGGTTGAATGGCTCACCTATGGCCACTTTGTCTTCCCAAATGTTTCCAAAATTCCTTGCCACAGCCAGGCTCGGGGTAGGGGGAAGATGCTGTTGAGCAAACAGGCCAGGGAGCAGAGAGGCCAAATGGGGGTATTGAAGGGATTAGAACCGTGCAGGGCTTGAATGGCAGGGAGTGCAACCCTAAAGAAATAATGACAGGGGGTGCCCCCCAGCAGAGTGGGGTAGGGGAGCCCTGGGTGGCTGCTGTCCCGCGGGGGAAAGGCAAGCAGGTATCACAAGCTGGACGGCCCCGTTGGCAGGACAGGAGGTACCTGGGTGCCGCCGGTGTGGGGGTGGTCACAGTGAGCAGCTTGTGGCCGGGGGGAGGGGGCATGAAAGCGTGGGCCCTCATGGGGGAGAAAGCACTTGTCCCCTAGAGGAAGTGGGGGGCTGATTAATCGGGGCGCTAATGAGCAGCAGGGAGAGGAAGCTCAGGAGGGCGGGGGAGGCGGCTCCATCGATCTGAGCCGCGGAACCAGCAGCTGAAAAAAAAGTGAGAAGGGAATCGATCTGAGGGAAACTGCAGCTGCTGGGGATTAGAGCCCGAGGTCCACCCACTGCCCGGTGGCCACCCCTCCCGTGTGTCAGGCGGCAAGCCTGCCCTTCAGGTCGCAGCCCCTGCCTAGCCCTCGAGGAGGGCCCGGGGGGGGGGGCGGGGGGCAGGGGGCGCAGGGGCAGGCGGGCACGGAGCTACCCAGCCCACCCTTGGCTGCAAGGCCAGGTCAGCCCCTTCAGTCATCACAGGTCACCCCAGCATGGGTCACCCCCCACACGCCACTGGCCATGTGCGGCGCCCTGCTGGGTTGTCCCTAACCGCTCATCGAAGTAGCTTCCTCAGGGGTCACGTGGCTGGGCTTCCCCACTAGCCAGCTCCCCCAAGCTGGGAAGAGAAGACCCCTGGGCCAGGGGCTGCATCTAGTGGGGTCCCTAACAGGCAAATGGGGCTGGCCCTGGAGGCAGCTGCTGAGCCGGCGCTCTGTCCCCTGGCCAGGCAGCCCCTCCCTCCCTGCCACACTTTCTGTTGAGACCCTTCTAGCGTTTCTTCTCCCACCTCCTTGTCCTCCACGAGCCTCTCTCTTCCCCTTTCTCCTAGTATTGATTTTTCTTTACTGTTTTTTTTAAAAGGTGATTTAATTGCTTTTTTAAGGTTATTTCAGTCTGGGGCTCAGCCAGAAAAGTGGGGAGCTGCCCCCACAAGCTTTGCCCTACACTTGTGGCTGCTCTGGGCTCCATGCTCATCCCTAACTTGCCCTGCCCTCCATGGCGATCCCGGGGTCGTACCTCCCCCAGCACCCTGGCCTCCATGAGCCGGAAGCGCACCCTCTTTCCTCCTGAGAGCCTGGCAGGGAGCCCTCAACCTCTAGAGGGAATGAGGTCGGGAGATAACCTGGTGTGGGGGGGAGGACGGGAGCTCCAGGCCCCTGGGAACAGAACATGAACCCCCCACCGTTGCCCCATAGACAGCTGGCTCCAGGTGTCCCCAAGTCCCCATCACCATCTAGGCTCCCAGACTCCCGGAATCCAGGTTATGCTCAGCGGGGGTCCCCCACAGCCTTTCAGCCCATCCTTGCCCCCCCCCAGTGCCTCCTGTTTTCCCTCTGGTCCCCTATTCCCGCTTTCCCTCTGGCCCCCGTCCCTTCTCCCCTCCCGCTCCCCGCTTCCCTGCCTGCCTCCCTCTCTGCCCGGCTGCAGTTGGGTGATAATCTCCCTCATTTAGCCTCCTGGCTGCTTCCCCGGCTCATTGCCCAGCTGGTCCCTGGGGCCCGGCCCAGCTTCTTCCCCACCCCCACCCCTCGCCCAGCGCCCAAGCTCCCCCACCCCCTCCCTGCTTCCCCCATCCACTCCCAGGGGACCAGCTGCACCCTGCAGTGAGCGCCAGGGCCAACGTTGCTGGCCAGAACCCGAACTGGGTGTGATCAAAATGGGAAGGGCTGTCAGGGACTCCAGTTGGGAGTGTGGGTGCCGGGCGCAGGGGGCCGCAGGGTGGGGGTGGGGTGTAGCTGCAGGGTCAGGCTGTGAGGCCTTAGCCAGGTGTCTGTCCTCTGTCCTCCAGTTATCCTCATTCCCCCGATTTGTTGCCAGCCCAATCCTTCAACCGCCCCCCGCCCCCCAGGGGATGAACTAGGCTTCCTGACAGAGAACAGTGGACGCACTGAGAGGTGAGATTAGACTGGCATCTACAGCCTGACGCGCAGGGCGTGGGGGAGGGGCCAGGAGCCTGAGGGAGGTGACAGCGGAGGGCAGAAGGGTTCTGACTCAGAGCACCTGGGAGGGGGCAAGAGGTGTTATTTGAGCAAAGTGCCCCAAACGCAAACTCGGAGACCTCCCAGGATGCAGCTTGGGGCATGTGGAGAGCACCTGCAGGCCCTTCCCGGCTGGGGGCTCCTGGGCTCGCCTCTTCTCCCAGCTCAGGGAGACCCTCACGCAGATCTGCACTCGCCCCTTCCCACCACATGTGGGCCCAACTCCTTGCCTGGGTGACCCCAATCATAAAGGACATGACCCCCAAACTCCTAGGAACCATCCTCCTAGAGAGAGTCCCCAGCCTCCTCCTGGACCCGAGGGACACCCCCATGCCACCCTCGACACTCACACACCTGTCCCAGACCTCGCCCTGGTGTGGGCCAAGGGATGAGCCAGTGTGGGACAGACGTGGGTGGGGAGGAACAAGGTGGGGGGGGCGGAGGCCGGGACTGGGCCAGTCCTGGCTGGTGAGCCAGCAGCGGTGACAAACGGGCTGTGCGGGGGCGAGAGGCGGGGGGCGGACCGCGGCTGATTTATCTGGGTTATTTATGCTGCGGACGAGGCAGGAGAAGCGGTTAATGAGAGTCCCAGAGAAGGGGGGTGGGGAGGCCCGGACGTGATCTGAGGCGACTTAGGAGGGTTAGCGTCCCACCACCAGGCCCTGCCCCCACTGCCCACCAGCACTCCACAGCCCGGACCCCTTTAGGGCCCGCCCGGCCATGACCCCTCTCCTGGGGCACCCCCAGTCCCCTTTTGGGATGCCCACGCTGAGACAGTGGGTCACCGGGCAATGAAGGAGACCAGGGCCAAGACTGAGGGGGCCAGGAAAGGGAGGGCGGGGAAGGAAGAAGAAAGGAGAAAAATCTTGGCTGGACAGAAACTGACCGAGTCTGTGGGGCCCGTGGGGGAGGGGTGGGGGCGAGGCCAGTGTAGCAGTAGGTGGGCAGCTGGCAACCTCGGCGCTGAGGTTGGAGAGAGGGCATTAGGGTGCAGATCTGGCGTCAGCCAGGAGCCGTCACAGGGCCCGAGAGGTAGAGACAGGCTGGGGGTGGGGGTGGGGGGGCGCGGTGCTGGTCAGAGAGAAGAAAGAGCCGGGAAGGAGGGGGAGAAGATCCAGGAGAGGAGGGGGAGAGGGCTTTGCAGCAGCGAAAGCTGCTGGGAACAGATAAGGCAGCACAGCAACAGCAGGGATTAAAGCTCTGAGGGGTGGGGGCGGGGGCGAGGCGTGGGACACGGAAGGGGGCGGGGAGGTAGGCAGGAGAGGGCTGAGGGCAAGACATCAGGACCAAGGAGGCGAGTGGGAGAAAGGAAGGCTGCCAAAGGGGCAGGATTTATGCAGGGGCCAGGAGCTGATCGCCTAGGAACGCGGGAGGATAGAAGGGACCCCTGCTCATCTCCTCTGCAGAGGGTCCTTTCCGCCCCTGGCGAGCCGGTACCCTGTACACGTTAGGGGTAGCAGAGCTAAGCAGATGGGTGCCTTGCTGAGGGTAGGCAACTGGTAGACCGTTGGGTGGGAGCAAGTGGCAGGGGCCAGCCCTGGGAGCCGCTGAGCTCCTGGCAAGAGCCAGAGCCCGCAGCGCCTCCTTGAGGTGGCCAATGAAACCCAGCGTCAAGGGCAACAACGGTCTCGAGCACCCAGCCAGCCGGTCCTGGGAATGGAGACCTCATTAGGCCCGGGGTGGCAGGGACCGGAGTTTCAAAGGGGGTTTCTTTGTGGGGAGGGGTATGGACATGGAGGGAAGGTAGGTGGCTTCG